TTTGACAAATATTTTGGCTGAAAGAAAGAAAGAGCCCAAAGAAAAAACAGAATCAGGGGAGAACTTTTATTTTAATAGTTCCTATTTGACAAACAAGCCACAGATTCAACAGTCTTCCTTTTGTATGGAGGTGCTGACATGTATTGACACAGTTAAAGTTATGAGATGGCATGTTTGTAACCTGAAAACACTAATTGGGCCTTAAGGATTCATTATTTTGTCAGCACAGATTACTGTGTCTTGGAAATATAATAATGTATCATCGGCATACAATCATACTCTGTGCTTGATACCTCCTCTTGTGAGGAGAAGTCTATCCATTAGATTGAATTATTTTTTTGTACGAGTGTACATAAACATTTAACTCGATCAATTACCTTCTCTGCGTCCAATTAACTGACTGTTTCAGGACTTCAAGAGGCAGATAGAGACACATTCATGACAACTGATGACCTCGACTAAAGCCTGTTTGGTCCTCTGGTGTGATACTCGAGAGGCAGTATGCTAAATCTACATTAATGCAAAATCTGAATTATTTATAAAAGGACAGACGTATCAGGGGGGAATGAAAGGATGTGAAGTCAGAATTTATGTTTACCGCCTCTACAGTCAGGTTTGTGATGCGAAGTGGGAGGCATATTGAAGCCTTAGCTTCGAGGCTAGGAGACGACTAGCTCTGTCCCCCATGCCCATACTAAGTTTCGCTTGTCCGTTGTAGTAGGTGTTCTGCTTTGCTTATAAAAAAAAAAACAAGTCAATTTAATTTGCAGTTGTAGGCGTTTGGCCACCAGAAGAGGATTCCTTGTATGGGCCTGTTGCTTAGGATAGCGTCCATGAGTTGTTGCTGTCTTCTGGTTTTGGGTAAATGTGCACGGAAAGAAACGATACACCCACAAATACTGGCGTTCAATGATTCACTTAGAAGCGATGGGGAGATGTCTCTAAAAGGACAGCAGTGTTTGTGGATACAGTCACAGAATTCCCTGTAATCCATTGCGCAATTTCCATCCTCCTTGATTGCTCATACATGAGGTAGAAGGCAGAGGTCCAGGATGTGAGGCGCATGATAAGAAATTACTGTACTTTCCCAAGATCTGACAGAAGGTAGAAAGGCTCGGTCAATTAAGACGATTAAACACTCGAGTAGGTTTGATGGACACTTGAGAAGTAAGAAAAATCTTTAGCGGTCGAGTGAAGGAAACGCCAGGAGTGTGCACATCCCATCTGATCCATAAGCACCAGTAGGGTTTTAGACAGGGCTGTTGGGATGGCTGACTGGATTTATTAAGAGCCAAATCTTGGTTTCGTAACAAATTTGAGATCCGTTCCTGAAATTAAATCCAATGCTGTCCACATTTGTGTGAGAATGTTGCAGAAAAACAACTTATCCATATTTATTGCACACACAATAGCTAACATAACCGGTGTTTGGTGGAGTACCAGGAACTCCGCTGTAATGGTCCTCCTTTATCACCGCCTCACTTGTACACGTTATCTATGCTTTCCTTGCATATGTTTTCTGTTGCTGTTATCGTTTCCTACATGTGGCTTAATTTCTGTGTGTACGTGCATGTGTGCGAGCGAGCTCCTCTGATTACCCCACTGTCCGCCGCTTGTCGGGGACCACTTTGTGACCGTTGCCGTGGGCGACCAGATGGCTAATTGAGCACTCTGTCATGTCACCTCCCTTCACTGGGGACTGAGCCAATCAGCACAGGCCAGACTTCTCAACTGCCGCCCCCACAGACATCACAGTCCCATCTTAACAGAGTCCAGCTTTAGGGGCCCAGAGGGATTGTTTAGACGGCTCACAGAGAGAGCCTTGTTACAACTGATACAGCATCAAGCCACTGGCTTATTTACATTCTGTCAACCTGAGTGGTTGGAAAAAATGTGTATTTGTGTGTGTGTGTGTGTGTGTGCCGTTGACTCACTTCCCTGCAGTTTAATGCAGAAAATCTATATCAGATTCCATGTATTTACGATGCTGCTATTGGCAGATACATCCTGTATGTTAGATTCACGGCTAGATTACAGATGTTTCTAACTAACTTGGCTCAGCGTTCCTTGGCATCGCATCAAAAATATATTGCACTTGTTACAAATGGCCATAGCACACATTAAAAAAAAAAAAAGGAGTGCCAGAAGGGATGCTGGTGTTTATTTTGTTGCTGCATGAGACTAACTAGACTGATTATAGTTAGAAAATGACGGCGCACTTGTTCGGTGTTTTTTCATTTTGCTTTATCTCCTGCAGTCCTCATTTAGAACGACCAAGTTGGTAGTTCAAGGCACAAGGTTGCTTTCAAAATCACTGCCAGGAATGTTTTTTTTTATTTCTAAGAATCTAAACTTGTGTCACCACAACAAGATGACACTGTCCCACACAGAGACATGCTAGATGTGTAGGATAGTATCACACAAGTGTTACTACAGAAGTATAACTACAAAAATCAGCCAGTAGGAATGTTTAAAGCTTGTAAAAAGTTACCTCATAATCGATGCTGATACTGGATTGAGGAGCTACACACACAGCAGCTGACAAGACAAATTCACCAACAAGCAATTAAATATTAAGGTTAAGACCCTACAGTATTAGATATAGTACAAATTAATTTGATGAACATAAAATCATCGTTAGAACCTAAAATGTTGTATCATATATGAAATTAGCTGATGTTGAGTTTCAGTATTTTAGAACTCTACTTACTTGCAAAGCGAAACTTAATAAGATTTGATCTAATGGTAGAAAAAAAAAAGAAAATTAAAAAATAAATAAATAATAAAATTCAGGCAGCAAAAATAGTTAAAAGTAACCAAAAAAAATCTTTAAAAAAATATAATTTTTATATTTAAAATACAGTATCTAGCCTTAATTTTACATGAGCATGTGCACCTTTTTCCACATTTTTAATGCTTAATTAAAGGTATTTACACATGTAAAAGCAATTAAATTACCTGTAAAAATGGTTGGAAAATCATCGAATTAATAATACAAATAATCAGAACCAATACTGCAGAAAATTCTGTTGTACAACTAGCAATTAACTTTTTAATTGGACAAATCCTGTAAGTGTAACAGGACTTTCTACAGTTTTTTAATTTCATTAATCTTAAATGTATTTCCATACACATGCTAGCCAACTAGTTAATATGTTTGCTGTATTTTAAAATAATTGATTTTTTTTAAATGCAGAAAAATAAAATTGAAAAAAAAAGTTTTTGCAAATGTTAATACTATTTTATTTTATTTTATTTTATTTTATTTTATTTTATTTTATTTTATTTCATTTCATTTTATTTTATTTTATTTTATTTTTATGATGCACAATGTAAAAATGTGTGGATTTGATGAGGAGATTTCACACTGAATCCGGATTCGACGAAATGCGACCTTACAAATGAGCACAACTCTGACTTACTGACATGTAGTCGACCACAGATTCTAGGAATAAATACCAAATACTTCATGTTCAAATCTCTCCCAGTTGTCAAATACACATGATCTCTCAATATATGTTTTCATACTTTGATGTCATCATTGTTTTGTAAGATCAGGCTTCAGAACACATTCCCATTAGGTGCTTCTAAGTGATATATGACATCCATTTTATTGGGCTTTTTTTTTTTCTGGAATAATATAATAATGAATGAATACTTCTCTGTAAATTGAATATTATTAATGCACATGTGAACACAATTAATTAGCTTGACATAATGAGTCCACGCACAGAACTCAGACGCATTCCGAACAAGCTGTCTCGGTAAATTAACTGATTGTTTTTTCCTCCGTGGAATGATATGTGGCTCTGTGATGAGGCGTCAGCGGTGTCAGTAAAGGGTGGAAATGTCACTTCAATTAAAAGTGGTTTCAATTAAAGTTATTTTACCTTGCTTGATGAGAGAGCTGGAGGTAGCGGAGATAACATCTAGGAGATATTGCCGAGGCTCTGGCAGAAAATTGAACCCCAGAATTGAAGCTAATTGAATTTGAGAATGATAAGGTTGAATGTGGGGAGCTCTTAAAGGCGGGCAAGAAAGGATGAGTAGAGGGAGTTTAGAATTAAAAAAATAAAAAATGAGCGAGAAAGAGTTCTGATTTAAATGGACAAAGATGAAGCGAGGACGGAGTGTGAAACTCATTTTTGAACAGATTCGTGGAGGTCTGCGCCTTGAAAAGCTCTTGGAGTGACCATGTGACAAAGTCTCTGCTAAATAAACTTGTGTAATCATGTTTTATGTTACTACAAGATACTCCTTCGTTAATGCCCACAGAGGGGGAAAAAACTTGGAGGTCAGTGTGGAGAATCCTGAGGCTGGTGCAAATGCATTGTTTTGCTTAAAGGGTTCTTGGGGCTCAAGGACAGCTCTTTCTGGTCAGGTGTTTTGTGACAGTGGTGGGGGTTAAACTACAATCTTGGATTAGCGCTATCTTAATCTAACAACATTTCCACCTTCCAAATCCATATAGATTTTTATTTTTTTTCCCGTTGCTGCATTACCGGCTATGATTAACGCGTGATGGAAGCCGGACAGTTTGATCGATAACATCTAGATGTATGCCGTCGCTGCAGGGATACAGACAAACGCATTTACAACTGTACGAGCACGGCTGATGAATAAATAATCTGGCTGCTATTTTATGTTTAATGCATCATGTTTGACCCAATCAAATCTTGTCTTTGTAATGGTTGTACCCTCCAGTGCAATGGACATCTTGGGTTTTTTTTAATGGGTGTCAGGCATCAAAATAACATCCACATGAATGCCAGGACTCAAGATTTCCCAGCAGAACATTGAATTGTATGAGCTGGTCAATGTTATTCACTTCACCTGTCAGTTACAGATGTTAAAAATGTCTTTGTGGATCTGCAAAAAAAACATCAAGATGCATGGTTTTCCATAGAACGGTTCACATGAAAGTGAATTCATAAAAATGGAAGTATCAGAATGGTTCTTTGGGGAACACCATTCCCTCGCTAATCTTCTGTCTCCCGTAGATTTCCCAAGACTGGAGCAGTGGTCGGAGAACGCCTCCCCGTCCGACGCCTCCCTCTTCATGGATGGCTTCCTCTACATCTCCTCCGGCCTCGCAAAGGCGACGTTGGATCGCCGCGGGAGAGACGGTGAGTGTAAATGTCGTTTTGCAAACCTTTCCCCCCGCCCAAGCAAGACCAATCAATCCATCAATCCATTTGTAAGCAATTTAAACTGCATGTTTGTCAGAGGTCTACTCCAGTTAAGCGCTGATCGATCAATCAGTGTCAGTCTGTCGCTTGTCAAACTGCCAATCGTTTAATCCGTACAGCAAACAGTCCAGTCAAAACGATCAATGGATCTGTCTCTCAAACGCGTCGGTCCTCCAGGGAGTTCTTGTCAGATGGAAGCATGTTAGACGGCCCGGCAGCGAATGCTCTGCGGAAGCAAGGGGCAGATTTGGGTCATTTGCAAAAAAAAAAACTAGATTGAATGTAAGAATTTTGGAGCAACTTGTTTCTAAATGTACCTGAGATACCGCCTCCAAAACTTTCTTCTTCCTTTGTCCTTCCAAGGCAGTTTAAAACTTTTAATCAGACTCCGATTCGTTTTCACAAACTCCTCAGCTGCTGCTGCACCTCCTGATCTGCGATGGTCCCACTTCTCCAAACAGCTGGAGCATTTCTGGGGCCCATGGGTAATTAGGAGAAGAAGCCGGCTTTGGGTACCGCCTCAGGGGAAGTGGGGGGTTACTGGGAAGATGGAGGATGGGGGGGGAGAAATGCTACCTGCCACATGAACAAGCTAAATCTCCTTCATGTTGAGCAAGACATCCATCTCCATTTCCATCACCCCACACACACTTATGCTCTCATCCGTAGTTGTGCTGGCTAATGAACAGGGCTGAGGTCTGGGGAAATTGGCCCTTAGAGGAGATGGGGGGAAAATTTATCCCAGTATCTCTTGAAAATCTCATTATCTGTACAAATGAGATTCATTTTCATTTAATTTGTTAACGGATAATTCCAGTGTATTGCTACTCTGCTTTTAATTTAGTCGTTTTTTGGATGTAGTTTTATATTGGTTATGATAATAGGGATCAAGGTGACCTCACTGCAACAAGCAAGTGGCGGGTTCACATACCTGAGTGTTTAAATACCAGATTTTGAATAATCCTGAAAGTGAGTTTATCTAAAATGCTGCTAAACGAAGAGAAAAAAAAGACTTTTGATGATACTTGGAACTTTTATTATTTGGTATTATTCCCGTTTTCATGGCAGCAGATTGCTCTACATATTATTATCACTGGCACGTTGATGTTTAAAGACACCCTTTTCTCTTATCGGAACAGGCTTGATAGCGGTTTGGAAAGCTGCATTGATATTTTTTGGCCAATTAGCGGTCGCAGTAATAGGCTTTTAACGCAATGCTGACATATTATCTTCTTATAAAGTTGTTACGGTGGATGTGACACAAAAACTTAATGCTCCACCCTTTTTTTTCTCCAAGGGAGGAAATGCAAGCTTTCAATTTGCATAATCCAGTTAAAAATAAAAATACTTCTCTTGTAAGGGCAACGAGATCCACTAGTCACTAAAGCATATGTCAAGTAAGAGAGCCAATAAAGAGTTTTTGTATTTAAGGTGTGTTGATTGAATTATGATGTCAGCTCACGCATTGAGCAACATGCAAGAAAACATTCAGCCTAAAAGTTGCTGGTAGCTGCCAGTTGCCTTTGAATCTTAATTTCTGCCTGTATTCCTTACTCATCATCACTAATGCTAGAGTCCAAAGGGTTCTAAAGTCATGTTGCAACACGTTTATTTGCAAAAAAAATGCTTAATTAGGCTCATAGTCTACCATAATAGTCTATACTTAAGTGACTGATACCAAGACTATAAGACAATGTGAACATAGTCCTTCATATGGGAGTATTAACCTGCTCTTTTTTAAGTAAATGAACTGCAACTTGATGCCTCTCTGAACTTTTTATAAAGTCATTGCAACATTTGTTTAGACCATGTCTGTCAGAGATCTCCAACTCTGGTCCTCGTGAGCTACTGTCCTGCAGGTTTTAGACGTTTCTGTACTGCAGCACAGCTGACTCAAATGAATGGATCATTAACAGACGTGACAACAAGCTGTTGGAGATCCATTAATTTGAGTCAGGTGTGTTGCGGTACAGAAACGTCTAAAACCTGCAGGACAGTAGCTCACGAGGACCAGAGTTGGAGATCCCTGCTGTATGTCATGGAAGTCTTGAGTTTCCAGTAACTCCTAGAACTCTTAATTATCTATGATGGAATGATTGAAGCACATGTATCCTTGTCACAAAAAACAAACATGCATTTTGGTTCTTTCATAGATTAATTGTAGATCTCCTGGAAATATGACAGAAGTTGCTGGTTAAATCTACATCTAGCAAATCTAATATTTAGTGAAATGTCCTTCGGCCAGTTAGGCTCACTTGGTAGCCATCCATAAGCTTCTGGCAAGTTTCTTTGACTACGCTGCTTGACAGGATTGGTGTAGTTTAACTAAATTTGACACAGACTTGTTTTTTTTGACACAGTCCTAAGGTTCTCCAGGAGGTTCAAGTCAGGACTTTGGGGGAGGTCAGTCTCTCTTTTGATGTGTATTTGGGGTCATTGTCATGCTGGAACATACATCCAAGACCCAACACTCTTGCTGATGATTTTAGGTTTTCCTGAAGAGTGTGGAGCGAATCCTCCTTTTTCACTTCTCCATTTGCTTTAGTTTCACTGGCATCAAAACAACCCCAGAGCATAATACCACCACCGCCATACTTGACTTTAGATTTGGTGTTCTTGGGTTGAAGACCTCGACTTCTCACCTCCAAACACATTGCTGGTCATTGTGGCCAAAGAGCTCAGTTTTTGACTGTTGACACTGAGGCCTGTGTTCCAGAAGCTTCGTCGGCATGTGTTTTCATCATTCCAAATGAAGAGCTGTAAGAGTCGTTGGAAGCTCCAGACTTGCCACGATATACATTGGTCTACATGGACCATGCCACCTGCTGTGAGCGGCCACCAAAGTAGTAAAGTTGCCAGCTGTACAACCATTAAATGAGTCGAAAAACCACTAAGTGCTCTGTAGAGCTGAGCTTAACTGCTTGTTTAGTTGTCAATTCTCAGTGGGTTCTCTACTAGCAACTCCCTTTATGTTCCACAGTAATTTCACCTGCTTTAAAATCAAATATTTACTACAACAACTGCAGGTCAGCGATCCTTACATTTCTTTGCATCAGGTTACATTTGAGGTAATTGCTGTAAAAGAAAACTAACAATTCCCCCCGTCTGATAGAAAGCCTGCTGGCGTGGCAACGGCGTGGTTTCGTTGTTCCACCTGCAGCGAGTGTTTCAGATACAGTGGTGCTACAGGTGTTGTTTTTGTTGAAGGCCACTTTAGTCAATGTTGTGCATTTTGTACCACTTACGGACACCCGCGCCACTCTAAAGTCGTCTCCGCTCGGGTAAGCGCCCGTAATATTCCGTCCGATAAATACCTTGTTATTTCATGTATTATGGAGAGCCGTGCAAGTTTCGCTTTTGTGCATTAACGGCGCTTTAACTGCAGCCGCGGCTGTTGAAAAATTCAGAGGGGCTGGGTTTAAAACTCAACGTGTTCCAGCGTCTTCAATCAAAAGGAAGCACTGTCAGGACTTTGCGAGCACGGAGGAATGAGGTATTTTTGAATGTACTCCAGGATGCCTTTCGCTCCCAGGCTAATGGTTTGATGGTCTATAGATGCGCACGAGTTCTTAATAATTCATAGGTTGTGCTCAGGGCTTAATAAAAGCACTCTGCCACAGTGTCTTAAACTTTTTTTTTTTTTTTGTCGTCGTCGTCTGGAAACAACTCCAATAGGCTTATGTGCTTCCACTGATGGGAGCTAAATTCAGAGAATGACATAAATTAATTTGGCAAGCAGTTTTGGTAATGGATTTGACGGAGGTGGCACAGGGGATCGTTGTGCCGGTCCAACATAATGAAATAAAATGCCATGCTGCTTAGCACATTTCCAGCCGAGATGCTGCTGGTTATATAGATTAGGACTAGAACATACTATTCCGTGTTGGTTTATTTGCGCTTTAAAGTGTTTTACTCTCAGCGTGGCGCTACTTTGCTTACTGTTGTGTTGGGCTCCCGTCCATATCCGGTTTATACAGTTGATTCCAGGGTAAATTAAGTCCTCCTCCCTCCCCCATTGAACGGGCAGACGAGTGACTCATGCTACTCCTACATTCAAGAGTGTGCACTTCCTTTGTGTGTGTCTGTGTGAGTCTTGGGAGGGAATGGGAGACAGTAGGCAGTTACTTTCTGAAATGGTGAGTGGCAGCGGGGAAATGGCAACCCTAATTTCTGATTAGTTTTGTCTTTTACTCATCAGGAGCACTCTGGTTTTGCCTGGAACAGTAACTCACAACTGCCAGAGAGGAGAAGAAGAAGAAGAAGAGGGGGGTAGGGAGTGGATAGGAAAGATAAATAGATAGAGATAGAAAGAGAGAGAGAGGTGCAATTATGTTAACAGTTTTTTGAGGACACAAATCTGAGCCCATATGAACAATTCAATTACTTGCAGCTGCAGCGTTAGTCCAGTTTTTGATAATAAACCAAATCTTCTTTATATTGAAAAATGTCGTCAAAGAATGTCAAATGATTTGGAATTTCGGAGTTGTCACATTTATGCAATTCTGTCTTATAATTTATGAGCAGTACACAACGCCTATTGAAACAAATGGTCTCATCTAATATGCTTTCTGGCGCGTCTTTGTTTACATGACTGTGCCTCTGCTTCCCTAAATGAGTGAGTAGTGCAGTTGATAAAGCAAGAAATACATGGCAGATAGTGTTTTTTTTATTTTTTTTTTTACTTTATCTTATTCCATATCTGTCCATTCCTCCCTGTAATGAAGTGGGCTGTAACTCTGGCACAGACAGATCGTTCAGATCCCTTCAGTTTCTCGATTTCCATTTCCAGCCCCCCTGACAAGCTGTCCAGCAGATGTCTTCATCACAGATATTTTAGTCTGATGGCAAGATAGGCAGAAGATTGGTGGAAGGGGTGGAGGTGGGAGCGTGAGCGAGGGAAGAGGGTGATTCAGTGGGAAAGGGGCACAGGCTGCTAT